AGCAGCAAAGCATTACTGGGCCCCTCAGGTTACAGGGCAGGCGGTGACACTGTCCCTCCCCCAATGTTCGGGATTACACCCTGGATTGCGATAGCCTCATTGTCTCGTTGGATAATGAGAATGGACACAACTCCTATCCTGGTTGGATGATCCAAGATTCTGCCATGAGTGCGGGTCATTTCCTGATTGACCCAGGCCAGCTTTGCCCAGCAGAGTGACCAGGCCACACGCTCCAACAGGACCAGACTGTGTTTGCGTAGACATGCCTACTCTGCCTAGGTGCGTAGCAGGCGGCTGGTATGTAGATTTTGCGTAAAGAGTCCAGAAGCTATGTGACTTGCTTCTTTGTAGGGGTTAGCAACAGAAATCCTTAAACTCAAGCGCGAGTCTTTTCTTGCAGCTGGTGATTTCTAAAGCGGACATCAGGCTGGGAAAAGCTAGACGCTGAGGCCTACCGCTTGTGTGGGAACGGTGGCCAGGGAGACTGTGCTTGCTGTGAGGTTCCCCACAACTTGCTCAAATCTGTAAAAGCTGGGTTGAGTGGCGCAACCTCAGAACGTCCTGTCGTGGGAGCAGGGAGCAGCAGCAGGGCCTAGTGGCAGTAGAGAAAGAGCGGCCAAGCGGTGGCAGAGAAGCAGTGGCGGCTGTGAGCCACTTGCAGAGGTATTGCTCCCTGGGGTGGGAGATGAATCCTGTGAACGCACCGCTGGGTCTTGGCTAACCAATGGTGAGCGGGGTGCACGGGCGGGGGAGGTCAGTGATGTGGTAAGGGACATTCATTTTGTAAGACTTTCACGCTGGCTAGGTGGGAAACTGAGGCAAAGGACACTGCCCAATGCACTGTGAGGGCTGTTTGCTTCTGGTCATGTGCTTCGGAATGTGGTCATGGTGTTTTCCCAAATTAATGCTGGTTCCCTTTCCCTTTTATTAAAGGTTTGACTTTGTTATACATAGATTCAGGGCTTCCAAGTAGAGAAGTGTGGCCACTTAGAGGTGCCAGGGATGGTGATAGGTTTTACTAGATTACTGGGTGGGGGTTTGAGACAGTTCTATTTCTCAGATAAGCACAGCCAGACGGGGTCAGACCAAAGGTCCATCTAGCCCAGTATCCTGTCTTCTGACAGTGGCCAATGCCAGGTGCTTCAGGGGAATGAACAGAACAGGTAACCATCAAGTGATCCATCCCATCACCCATTCCCAGCTTCTGGCAAACAGAGGCTCAGGTTTTGCATCCCTGACCATCCTGGCTAAAAGCCATTGATGGACCTGGTCCTCCATAAACTTATCTACTTTTTTTAACCCTGTTATAGTCTTGTCCTTCACCACATCCTCCGGCAAAGAGTTCCACAGGCAGACTGGGTGTTGTGTGAAGCAATACTTCCTTCTATTGTTTAAAACCTGCTGCATAGTAATTTAATTGGGTGACCCCAGGTTCTTTGTTATGTGAAGGAGTCAATAACATTTCCTGATTCACTTTCTCCGCACAAGTCACGATTTCACAGACCTCTGTCATATCCCCCTTAGTCGCCTCTTTTCCAAGCTGAACAGTCAGTCGTTTTAATCTCTCCTCATGCAGAAGCTGTTCCATCGCGCTAATCACTTGTGTTGCCCTTCTCTGCACCTTTTCCAAATCCAATAGATCTTTTTGGGGATGGGGAGACCAGATCTGCATGTAGTATTCAAGGCGTATGCGTACCATGGATTTATATAGTGGCATTACGAGTTTTACTAGCTTTTGCTGTTTCACCAGTTCAGACTAGTTGCTATTTGAATAGCTGAGGCTAGAGTTAAATCTCTCTTCAATTGTAGCTGCTGTGAAAAGTTTTTCTCTGTTAACCCAATAACCAGCCAGCCTCTGATATTTTCAGTTCAATTCAAAATCACAGTTTTCAGCCAATGTATGCAGAGCTCTTATAAAACATTCAACATTTCTCCTGGTTCTTGGATTCTTAGGTGAAAACATGTTTTTCATAAACTGCATTACTGTGGAGTATAAAGTATGTATCACATCTTTGTGACTGTCTTCAGTAAAGTCAAAGGGTTTAAAAAAGCTCTGCTCTGCTTGCTTCCCCATGGCATAAATTAAAGAAGATACCGGTATGTTTCCAGTTGCTTTGTGGAGTTTGTTTGCAATTCAAAATCTTGCAAAATACTGCTTCCAGTCTGTCCATTCTGAAGGTTTGCCAAAGCTGAAGTTCTCTGGGACACTGAAAAGTGTCATGTTGATGAGATCCTGCTACCTTCGTTGCTGTTTGACTTGTGTTTCTGTTCCTAATTTACTCCTGACACCATGTCATGCTCCTGTCCCGGATATGGACTGGCTACAGAGTTTGCTTATTCATACTAGATGTGTTCATCATAAGCTCTGTTAATGCTCTGCCAAGTATGGCTAAGATTACTTAAATACGGTGCTTTTACATACAGTGCCCCCTGGTGGCTGAACACTACAATACAGTTTAGCATTCCATTGCCACAGTTCTTTTAGCCTAACCAACCTAGTTCTTCTTCGAGTGCTTGCTCATATCTGTTCCAATAGGTGTGTGCGCGCTGCGTGCACGATCGTCAGAAGATTTTTACCCTAGCAACACTCGGGTCGGCTGAGGCGCCCCCTGGAGTGGCGCACTTACGGCGCCGGATATATGCCCCTGCCGACCCAGTGCCCCCTCAGTTCCTTCTTGCCACCCGTGACGGTCGTTGGAACAGTGGAGCGCGGCATAGCTCATCTCCACCGCCCTAGCTCTTTACTCGTTCTACTGTAGATAGTTGTTTAGTGTAGTTTTTAATAGTTTTAACAGTTATAGTGTAGTTAATAGTAAGTTTTGTAGATAGTGTAGATAGTACTTGGAGGGAACGGGGTTTATCCCCTTCCCTCCTTCCCAGTACCAGGGCCCATGCCTAGGTCTCCGGGTTTCAAGCCTTGCTCGGCCTGTCTCAAGCCGATGCCCATTGGAGACCCCCACGACTCCTGCTTGAAGTGCCTGGGGGAATCCCATCAGCCAGATAAGTGCCTCATTTGCAAGGCTTCAAGCCTCGGACAAAAAAGGAGTGGGACTTTAGTTTAAAACAGCTCCTAATGGAAGCGGCACTTAGCCCGGTGCCCTCGGCACCACACGTGGACCAGGCGCCGTCGGTCCGAAGCGCGCCTCCGGCACCAGAATGACCCGGCACCAGCAAAGACTCTCGGCACCGGACGTCTCCGGCACCGGTACAGACGCGACATCGCTCGCTGTCTCCGCGGCCCAAGAAGCAGCACAAACCACCTGCTGCTCCCGTACACTTGCAGGCACCGCCTGTGCCACCATTGGAGCAACGGCCTGTACTGGACCGACCTGCGAAGGCTCCAACTCCGGCACCGTCGATTCCGGCGCCGCAAGCGCCGTTGAGTCCGGTGCACACAAGCTCCCCAGTGCACACCGTGGTCGAGCTCAGTCTGCCGTCCACTCCGGAGACCTTCTCCACTGCTCGCGACCTGATGGCGCTGACTGAGCCTGGACCGTCTCATCCTCCGGCCCCGCCAGTGCGGACTGTGCCATCCATAAGGAAGCCCGCCTTCATGCGCCCTCCATTGCAGAGCGAGACAGCTCGGCACCGATCTCAGTCCCATTCCAGGTCGCAGTCCCGATCCCGTCGATGGTCCCAGTCTCGGCACTGCTCGCAGTCCCGGCACCGATCCCCATCTCGGCGCCGGTCATACTCGTGGCGCTGCTCCGCCTCACGAAGGTCTCCCTCCCGGTACGATCGGTACCGGTCCAGCTCCCGGCACCGTCCTGGCACTGATCATCTCACAGCCAATCTCGGCACCGCCTGGGCCGTAGGTCTTGGTTGAGATCTAGATCGGCCTCCCGGCACCGTTATGACAGTCGGTCCCGATCCCAATCGCAGTACTACCCGAGACCCTGGCACCGGTCTCCAAATGTGCATTCTGCCCCGCCTTGGCCTTCACGACCAAATTCGATGTCGTCCCAAGCGGGGAGTGGCTACCATGACCAGGGCCAAGACACGGCTGGTGCTAGCCAGGGGCAAGACTAAGGACAGGATCCTGACTAGGAACCCCCACAGTGGTCCTTTTGGACGCCTTGAGCCTACCACCAAGCCCAAGGTGTCCCCTCAGGCGATTTTCGCTCTGCCCATTCAGAGCCCCGGGTGCCAGAGGCCACTGTGAGCCGCTCTCCCCCGGTAGCCTCGGAGGCAACTGCCCTGCCATCAGATCAGGCCCATGCCCCTAGCGTGGTGGACGTAGGGCAACTGGACCCTCCCCAAACAGACCTTCCCAGGATCCACTAGTCCCGGGGGTGTCCTCCTCATCCTCGCCTGACGAGGCTGTGGCAGGCACGTCCTCCTCTGGCCCACCGCCTATAGATCTTCGTGCACACCAGGAGCTGCTGCGTAGGGTGGCACAGAATATGAACCTCCAGGTGGAGGAGGTGGTGGAAGTTGAGGATCCGGTGGTGGACATTTTATCGGCCGATGCCCCCACACGTGTAGCCTTGCCGTTTATTCGGACCATCCAGGCTAATGCTAATACGATCTGGCAGTCCCCAGCGTCTATTCCTCCCACGGCCAGAGGAGTGGAGAGGAAATACTTGGTGCCCTCTAAGGACTATGAATATTTGTATATTCACCCCCAACCTTGCTCCGTCGTTGTACAGTCTGTGAACGAGAGGGAGAGACACAGCCAGCAAGCGCCCACCCCTAAGTCCAAGGATGCGAGACGCCTGGATTTATTCGGGCGCATATATGTTCAATGGGTGGCCTACAGCTCAGGGTAGCTAACCAGCAGGCCCTCCTGAGCCGTTATAATTATAACACCTGGAACTCGATGGGGAAGTTCAAAGAGTTGGTTCCCCAGGAGTCCAGGGAGGAGTTTGGGGCCTTGCTAGAAGAGGGCAAGAAAGTAGCGAGGACATCCCTGCAGGCGTCTTTAGATGTGGTGGACTCGGCGGCTAGGACTCTAGCCTCGGGCGTGGCTATGCGCCACGTTTCATGGCTGCAGGTGTCCGGTCTTCCACCGGAGCTGCAGCAGACAATTCAAGACCTGCCCTTTGATGGCCAGGGGCTATTCTCAGACAAAACTGACCCCAGACTTCAGAGTCTGAAGGACAACCGGACCATCATGCGCTCATTGGGCATGCATACCCCGGTGACGCAACGTAGGCCCTTCCAGCCCCAACCGCAGCGCACCTACCCTAACCCTCGACTGAGGCAGGACTTTGCTAGAAGGCGTGGCCGCGGTAGTAGTAGGAGGCAATCTGGTCCTCAATCAGGCCAGAATCAGGGCCCCCCAAAACCATTGGCGGGCCCCAAGCAAAACTTTTGAAGGTGCGCCCGAGGACGGAGCACGAGTCTCCTTGCAGGATCCTTTCCCGCCTTTCTTCAACTGCCCCTCCTATTTCCTTCCTGCGTGGTCCCGCATAACGTCAGACTGCTGGGTCCTACACATGGTGGAAACTGGATACCATCTTCAGTTTGTTTCGCCCCCCCCCCCTTCCCACCCTCCCTCCCCGTCCCTCTTCAGGGACCCCTCTGACGAGCAACTCCTCTTACAGGAGGTACAGGCGCTCCTGTCTATCGGAGCAGTGGAAGAGGTCCCAAAGGATTTGAGGGGCAGGGGTTTTTACTCCCATTACTTCCTAATCCCCAAGGCAAAGCGGGGACTACGGCCCATCCTGGACCTGCACGGACTCAACAAATTCATGGTAAAGTTGAAGTTCCGCATGGTTTCCCTGGGGACCATTATCCCTTCCCTGGATCCTGGTACGCTGCCCCCGACATGAAGGACGCGTACTTCCACGTAGCAATTTACCCACCGCACAGGCGATTCCTCCACTTTGTGGTCAACCAACAGCATTTCCCATTTACCGTCCTTCCCTTCGGCCTGTCCACAGCACCAAGGTGTGGTGCTGTGGACCACAAAGTGTATGGCCATCGTAGTGGCCTCGCTCCACCGACATCGGATCCAAGTGTTGTTATACCAATAGAATAAAAACCAGCAGGATCTTATTAAGAGGGATAAGGCAAAAATGCCACATTTATTGTAAATATACTGATAAAGCAAAAGATAAAAGTAAACAATGTTGTTTGACTACTTATTTCTTATACACACACACACATAGAGAGAGAGAGAGAGAGAGAGATTCATTCACACAATCATTCATTCAAGTTCTGTATAGGTGTTATA